AATTCCCCAGCCAGCATGGCTGGGTGGGGAATTCTGAGAGTTGAAGTCCACTCATCTTAAAGTGGCCAAGTTTGGACAACACTGCCTTACAGGGTTTCCTTTCTGTTACTGTAAACAAGCCAACCTTGTTATGTTTCCCAAGCATTAAAAAAAAATGTTTATGCATTGTGCTAAAAATTAATTGCTTAACCACAGGCTAATGAATAAACCAAGGTTGGCTGGGTTCACCCATTTTGCTAAGCATTTAGCTATTGAACTCAAAATGGTTGAGTTCACACAACCCACTTATCCATAGCTATACAAAAAATGTTTTGGATTAGCGGGGTGTGTGAAATGAGCACAACTCCTGCTGACTTCAGGGATACATACTTTAGTTTTTTTGGTAACAATGTGGAAGTAGATTGTTCATCGCCTACAACCCTGAGATTTCTTGATGACCTCCCATCTAAGTAATAACTTAAGTCTGGCTCTGCTTAGGGTTTTTGAGATTAGCCAAAATTTCTGCTGGTGCTGCCCCTTGCTAAGACAAAAAAGCCAGTGAAGTAATGATTGGCGCTGAGAGAACATAAGGACCTATTAGCTATATTTTAAAAAGGGGAGAGGGAAAAGGAAGATTTGGGGCCCCACAGCTTTACAGTATCTTCCTTTCAACTGAAATAAAATAACCATTAACCAGCTGCCCGTTTTGGAAAGAAGGTGGATGAACCAAAACTTCATACGGACTAGGAACAGACTAAGGCCGTACCCCAGTATGGAGAGGCAACATATTCTCACAGGCTCTGGTTGGAAAGGTGTGATTTGAACAGAGCATGGTCCAGAAAGTGGTAACACCACCAAAGAGGGAGAGATTCCAACAAGCCATGAAAAAAGAGGAGCAGCTTATTTATACTCCATCTTCAAAAGCAAGTATGAATTCTCCCAGCTCAGAAAACAAAGCTTTAAAAAGACAAGCTGAGCTTTGGGTCAGTCGTTACTCCAGTACAGATTCATCTTCTACCATGTCCCTTTTTGCTGGAATATGTGGACCTAAGCAAAGGGCTCGAGCAATGCTAGAAATGGATTAACTTTAGACAGCTAGGTGACACTGATAGAGTTTCTGGAAGACCAGAGAGGATGGATCTATTATGCAGTTATACCTAATGGATCCCTTGAACTGTTGGAAGTTGTCCACTCTTGGCTTTGTCTATTGTCTGATTACAGCCAATTGTTTATTCTAAAAATACTTCAGCATAACATGGCTGATGTAGTATGTGAACTCAGTCTACGCTTCTATGACTTCAGCTTGCAACTGTAGCTCTGAAACTTCACCAGCTCTCTGTTACATCCAACCAATTTCTTTGAAGTATAGTTTCAGGTCTTTTAAAATGCTTTTTTGCTCTCAGCGGCATCCCAAATGGCCTTCAAACCAGGACAATGTCATGAGTTTGAGAAACATGATCCGAAAATCATAGAATTGTTGGCATGTCTTGGAAAGAGAATTTTGGCAAGAATGATCACTACTTATTAAAGACACGTATGTTCTTTGGGGGACCAATTTAGACGTTATCAAGGCATCAAGAATGGTGAATCTTGATATGGATGGGGAGATAAAGTAATTATTATAACAATATTAAATAGGTAAGCGCAATCCTGATTTTCAGCAGTGGATTGGTGAGATGATTGTCAACATTTGAAGCATACTTTTTTTTAACTAAACTCACAGCACTTGGACAACCATGCTTTGTCTTGAAAAAGCTAATCAGGGTCAGGATTGATTAATACTTGGGTTGGAGACTGTCAGAACAGATTGAGAAGTAATAACATTCCATAAAAAAGCACGTTTGGTGTCAGAGAAGACTTCTGAGAATACCACGGAGAGCCAAGAAAAGAAACAAATGGATCTTTGAACAAATCAATCCACAGTTCTCATTCAAAACAAATGACCAGGCTCACTTTAGCATATTTTGGACACATTATGAGAAGACCCAACTCTCTGGAAAAGGCTCTAATGCTGTGAAAAGTGGAAGGAAAGAGAAGAAGAGGATGACCAGCAGCAAGATGGACAGACTGAGCTACAGTAGTGATGGGTGCAGGGCAGGTTGGGGGCAGATCATCCTGGAGGATATCTAGATGGTCACTAAGAGTTGACATTGACTGGATGGCACATAATCAGTCATCAATTCAGGCTGCATTTTATATTTGTTAGCAGTAGCACAATACCGAAAGATAAATTTGGAGTTGTATTTTTGGGGGGTAGGTGACCCATGGATGCAAGGTTGAAAGCCCCATTCTACTTCATCAAGCCCCTGATCAACAAGGTTGCATTCCATGTAACACTAAGTATTGAGTAATGTTACCTGCTATTGGAGCATTTTCCTCTATGGTTTGGTGGAGTTCAGGATTCACAAAAGGATTAGCAAAGTAACCAAATTAGATGCAACTCCCTCGCAGAGCTCTTAAGATAGGTCTGCAGCAGGATTTATTTCAGGCCAAGAGAAAAGAGGTTTGTGGTTTGAGGAGATAATTAATTTGCTGTGCTTGACTAGAATACATCCCCCAGAAGAGGATTGGAAGGAGGCAAAATCTGAGCAGTGATCATGCAGAGGTACGGGGGCATCCTCCTCAGTGTTTGAATGCTTAGAATGAATAAACGTGTTACCATATTGTTTACCTTGGGTGACTATATGGAAGCAACCATGTGGATTTTGCAGCTGAACTAAAAGCAGCTGAAAGTATCCAAAACATTTTGCCAAATGTCCCCTGATTGTAAGAGAGGGTTGAGAAACCCCAAGGAGGCTGCTGTTCTGTCCTGCGACAAAGCAACCTGCTTGGCGGCATTAATCTCTTCGTCTCACGTGGTTGAACGTTTACACTCTCTGCACGCCTGATATGCCCCAAAGAACTTCTGCTTGTTTAGAACTTTTTCTTTAAGCCTGATGGAATGCCTGAACTTCAATGCCACAGAATTATTGGCTGAACATTGGTTGCCTAAGTGATGGTTGTGACCAAACACTTTGCAAGGCTGCAGCCAGCGGCTTGATCAATCTCGGGAACTTGCATCCTAGAGAAAAGAAAGGCCGTTTTGTCACAAGAGCAAAGCAACGGGAAGGTGGTTCCCAGCAGGTAGCCAGATTCCGAAGCTTCTTGGGTGGGTGACAGATTAATCGGACGTTCCTGAGTTATTTCTTACAAACAGCCGCTTGCTTTTCATTGTGGTGGACTGAACAGGAAACAGGGAGCTAAAAGAACACAACATTCATGCACCGCATTTTCCTTGCATGCATTACTATTTCTCAAGGACAACACAAAGGTTGCCAAGCATGCATTGCAAGATGCAAGGTGGGAACAAGCAAGGATGGGTTTGCAGCATTGCTATCATGCAGGAAGTATGGCAGAATAATAAAGGGCCTGGTTTGCATGCCAAAGGTTCCATGTTCAGTCCTCAGCATCTTCTAGTAGGAATAGGAAAAAGCCCTGCTTGAAACAATGGGCAGTTATGGGGGGCTGCCCTTGTGACCTGCAGAAGCCATTGATCCTTCCCCTAATCAGGAAGAATTAGTCAAATGGTGCAGATCTGGAGATTCCAAGGTCTAGCAGCGGCTGAATTAGCTTTCCACAGCAAAAAGGTCAGAGGATCTTTGTTACCTTACAAACTAGCCCATGTATCCTCACCTAAGCTTTCATTAAGCTCAGATCACCTCCTGTGATGCACATTAGAGTTGAATCAAGCACACAGGTCAAGAATTTGCCTGCAACCCAGACACCGCCTTTTCCCAGGTTGGTTCTCCAGGTTCTATCCAATCTTTTTTTCCATCTTCTACAAGCTGAAGACATAAAGGACCATGGCCTTGGAAGAAAAATATATAGAAGTTATGGATGAGGAGGAAGATGAGGAGGATGTGGAAAACATCAAGGAGAAAGCAGCCTTTATCGTTGATAAGATGCTGCAAGATGCCATGGAGAGTGTTAGACTCCTGAAAAAGGAAGAGGCAGGTACTCCAGTGTGGTTTTGAAGCTGTAGAGGCACTGGTATCTAACTTCAACTGGGCACTAATTTGTCCTCCTCTCATCAGCTGCAGGTGTCAAATACAAAATACCAAATATTACCTGGATGAGGTGCAAAGATTTCACCATAGGAAAAGGCCTGTTGCAGATTGAGGAATATATGAGAGTAAGTTTCACGTCTGATCTTCATTGGCATCTTGGGTGCAAGGCGATGTGGCATGTCTGGGTGTGTAAACTGGGCTTAGATGTGGAAAGTCAGTTGCCAACAGACCAGAAGCTTGGACCTCTTGTAAATTGTCCTGTTTAATAAGTCCTGTGCATGTTTTCCTCAGCACTATTGCCCTGCTCTGTCTGGTGGATTTATTTCCTTATAATTGGATTTAAGCTATTTTGCGCTAAGAAATGTATTTGTTAAAAATAAATATTAATGTTTATTTTTTTATAGAAGCAATTTTACATTTGCATACAGTTACGTGCAGTTACGTCCCCCCCCCCACTTTTTGTTTGCTAATTTCTTGACCATTTAAGTAACGTAACAAATCTTATTTTAAGAGTGGAATATATTTGCTACATATATGTATAATTTTTTGAAAGGAAGATTAAACTGTTCAAACTATCCAGATATCCTATAATCAGGTAACAGTGCCTACATTCATGGAATGTGTGTAATCTGATTACTGGATTAACTCATTTTCTGGATTTGCACAATAAATTGAAACTAACAGTTGGGTTGAACCACATAATAAACCAGAAAAGTAACCAGTGTTTAAACCAACTGAGTTTAGCAAGTTGTGTTAGTACAGATGCCTGGTTTTAAGAGCTCTAATTAAACTTGTTGTACAGAACCTCCAAATTGTCTTTTATTGCCCCTAGCAAGTCCCAGAACATTTCTAAAAGTTGCTACCAAATTGTAATTCTCAATATGACAAAAGGAGAAAAATACATGGAGAGTATGAACTGTTTTTGAATGAAATATAACCAAATTTAGTTTAAAACCACTATCTTGTTCCTCCTGCCCCATCTAAGCTTTGGAGTATGTCCCTTCATCATGCCACAACATAGTACTTGTAATCCTCATTTAGTGACCCCAGTTGGGACTGGCAACTTGGTTGTTATGTGAAGCGCTAAGTGAAATGACGACTGGGCTTACAATCTTCCTTCAGCTTTCCTTTCCTTTACCGACCCATGAAGGTCATCAGTGTGAGGATTGGTTGTAAAGTTACTTTTCCATCACTGTCATAACTGCAAACAGTTGCTAAACGAGGCAGTTGCTAAACAAGGACTACCTGTAAGCTCCAGCATAGTAAAACAAAATAAAATATAGCACGCTTTTTTTCAAGTAGGTGCTTGTAATGGGACTGCTGTCTGATTTACAGTATATTAATCCCTGTAGACGTGGGAACTTCATGAAAGTTGGCTACACTGGACCAACTATCTCAATAATGAAGAACTCCAGTACAGCACCCAGTACCGTTACCGAGTCCGCTGGAGCATCCCAACATGTAGGAAGCCCATCCCACGAGCAACAGCGTGTGTCTATTTTGTCATTGAGATTTCCAAAATCAAACCATCAGTGAGTATTTTGAGGTCCCCTTGGGAGACAGTTAAGCTCAACTGCAATGAAGCCACGTTAGGGATGCTCTCATTTAGAACTTATCTAAAATCCATGATCTGTTGCCTCAATTGCTTTTAAGAATCTGCTCGCACATAGAGAAAGGCAACTACCAGCCCTCTGTATGTGGCAGAATTCCAATCACCATTAACCCAGTCAGCATGGCCAGGTTGTGGGAACTGAAGTCCAACAATTATCCAAGAGGAAACAGCTGGATGCTTCTTGATGGCCATGTCTTTGCTTAAGAATAAGAAGGAAATGCTTGCTATTAATTTTAGGCGTAACTAATAAACATAAAATAAAGGTAGTCTGGTGGTATCTTGGCCATTTATAGTTTTGTGAATCATAACTCACTTAGCTATCCATTCCCCCCAAAACTCATTTTGTTAGCTAAATAAGACAACTCAGAAGGAACCAACAAACTGTAAAGGAGACGTCAGGGGGCATGGAAAGTGGATACAAGAGTGCTAATCCTATGGAATTCCATCTTAGATCCCTGTTAGATGGTTGAGTGTTATTGTTAGGCTTTAATTCTTGGGAGAATTGCCTCTATTTTTTCCTGAAATATCTCTACGTTCATGAGGACCATTAAGTAGGCCATCATTTGCAAAACTGTAACCATTGTTTTTCTGTTTGATACAGACCCTACCGATTGAAGTATTCTTTGTGGTGGAAACCAACAAGCTCATCCACAGGTACTTTCATGGCAACACTTCCCTCAATCAACTGGTTTACATAGCTGGGTTCCCACGTTGCATTAAGATGTTGCTAGCATGGTTTATTAAGTCACAGAGGCTGAGTTTACACATCTTGAACCATAATCTATAGGTTGAAAACAAAAAAAACTAGGTTCATATAGGTAAACTAAAATCAAACAGTATTGTGGCTTAGCCATGTTGAATGAACTTGGCTTGTATCTCATTCATTTTTGACTAGTGTGGTCAGCTGGCCAGAAAGGAAGGGAACTGACCAGAACCTTTTCAATGTATAAAATGGGAAGTGGGATTTTTCTTGAATTGTATGGAGATTAAATCTTCTCTGCTACAGTAATCTGCAGATGAAACTGCATTTTAAACAGGCCCAGTTCCAGGAGAAAAGTTGGCTTAGCCATTGGTAGCAAGAAAAATCCTTCAAGGTTCATTCCCAAAGCTTCAATCCTGTCCATAATTTTCTGGGACAGAGCTTCTAGCAGTGTTTCTCAACCTTGGCAACTTTAAGATGTGTGGACTTCAATTCCCAGCACTCCCCAGCCAGCATGGAGTGCTGGGAGTTGAAGTCCACACGTCTTAAAGTTGCCAAGGTTGAGAAGCACTCTTCTAGAATATGGAATGCTCTCTCCAGGATGTTATTTGGCCTCCCACTTAGGAAAGTACTTAGGAAAATAGCAAAAATGAGTCTCTTTGGCTTAGTTTTCAACCATTAATTGGTTTTAATATTGAATTCAGTGATACAGACTTTAATTTGGTAGTATTGATTTTAACGTCTTTTACATTTTGTTCTGTTCTTATAGGCTGTCTTGAGAGTTTCTATAAGCAGAAAGATGGAGTATTAAGTTTAATAATATACATTAAAAGAATAGGGCTTTCTTCTGCCTAGGTCTCCACTGTTTGTAGAATGATTCCTGAGTTTCAGCTCTTCCTAAAGCTTATCCATTGACCAACACTGAACAAGATTCTCAAACTGCTTCACATTTTTATTAAGTTGGAATCCTGTATAATACTATTGTTGTGTGCTGAAACACACCAGTTGCTTATAGGAACTCAAAGGTCCAAGTTAATAAATTGTTGTATGTGATTTGAAGGCAGATGTCAACAAACCCTCAACCACACAGAAATAAGGAAACAAAAGCAGGGAAGGTTTGTATAGTTTACCTTTGACAGATATTGGTATCTGAAACATTACAAAGTGTTTTTCAGCCATATAAAACAAGTCATGTTTGAAAAATACTGTAAAACATTGTATTAGCTAACTTTTTGGATGAAATGTAAAACCTGAGTATAAAATGCTCACTCTTTCTATTTACAGGCCAGGAAAATCTCGCTTTAAGGAAAAGTGGCTCAAAGATGTAATTGAAAGTAAAATAGTCATGATGGAGACTGTGGACTTTTAGTTCTTCTAGAATGGTTAGAAATTAAAATCGCTGTAGGCGTCCTGCTTTTTTTTTTTTTTTGGTAATAAAATCTCCTGGGTTGCTGTAATCAGACCCTCGTTTTGATCTCTCTGTACATTCATATAAATGAAGCGCGGGAAGAAAAGTTTTAATCAAACTGCATACATATCCCGTATCAAGGCCCTTACATCTGCACTTTTGCTCCAGAAGATGGGAGAGATTACACCTGTCAAATGTCCTTATTTAATGCAATGTTAAGTCACCAGAGGTCCTCCCAAGGTGTGGCAATGCAAGTCTCAATGTTTCAACTAATGTGGTGTTCAGGAGACACCAGATTCCGGAAGGCAAGGTGAGAAAGGGAGGCTGGTCTACAGAAGCTAGGACCATGATCATCTTTATGCAGAACTCAAGAATATTGGACTTTGATTCAAGAGCAGCCTGTGGGTCCCTAAACCAAATGTATTGAATCTCTAACAATTAGTGCCTCATTTGCTGGAATGAATTGGGCTGCATTTGGGGACAGCAAATTGGGAGAGCATTTCTCCCCACTGCCCCAAGATATTTCACAGAATGAATGCCTTCAACTTGAGAGTCACTGTAGTTTAGCAGTTTTGGAGTTGAAGTCTGAGAAAACTCATGTTTGACTACACTTCTTAGTTTATGGAACCTCACAGGTCACAGGGTGACCTTGCATCAGTTATTCTCTCAGCCTGATCTGTCTCACAGAGCTATTGTGAGGATAGCAGTGGAGAAGGGCGGGCTATTTGTGTCACTTTGAACTCCCAGAAGAAAAGATGGATATACATCTACTGAACACATAAGAAGCTGGCAAACCGCAAACAACAACACACAGTCAACTGGACCTAGGAGAACATTTTATTTTAAAAATATAGTTCAGAAGCGGTACACCATTCTGGAACTGTGCAAAAAAGGAATGCTCAAAATGCATTCAATAAAGCTGTCGTTTATACTGGGGTACTTATGTACTGGGGTGTATTTTTATTCGGATTTCTTTTCTTCCTTGTTTCAGAATGTGGCTCCAGATATACTTCTAAAGTTTATGAATGGTGTACTGGGCAGCACTCAAAATTTACAAAAGGGAACAGAAGCTCAAAACCCCCAGTATATGGCAGTTGCCACATGGACTTTGAATTCCAGTCCACAAATTTTATCTAGGCTATAGATTATATTGAAGAAACTAAAGGCTAAAAAATTTCCCCAGATTGATATTCACCTCATTTCTGCTGTTGAAAAACTATTTACGCTTAGCTGAGCAGGAAATAAATTTATGATCCTCAAAGCATTCTCTCTTGCAAAATTATGAAAGCCAGACGTTTAATAGCACTAAAACTGTAAAGAATCCCAAAATGACAAAATATAAGGAGTCTGAGCCACAAAACAAGATCATGATTTAAACAACTTTTCTCTGTTTAACAATCCACCCAAATGTGTATCTGTTCTAGACAGGAAGCTTATAAAGGCAACAGTCAACATTAAAGCTATTTCTGTCTTTTGGGTGCACAGAGTTAGGCCCAGGGTATGTGCTAGCTGTATAAGAGATCTTGTTGGTCCATTCAGGGCTTAATATTTTCTTCTTGTCAAAGTCCATAGAAAATAGTCTTCACTGAACCCTCATAAACGCAAATTCTTGCTTAAACTGCGAGATTGTTTTTAAAGTGCTGTTTTATCAATCACAAAGGAGGGATAGCATCTCAGCAGCTTCTTAGCATATGGTAGTATCGACTGGCCTGCCTTGGTTAATCTGACATGGGCTGCATACATCTGCTATTGAGAAGACCTTGCAAGTTAGTTCCAAGGCCACACCAAACCAATTAGGGTTCTTAGCTGGTTATCTATGGACTGTTTCCCAATGTTCCTGCAGCACAAGCCACAGTGCTGCCCACCCATTTGCTGGGCAGCACCATGGAGGTGGTTCATCAAGGTCAGGACAAAGGACACGCCATTCATTTCTCATCTTTGCCTTTGGTTTTTCTGTAGACCATTTCCCGGAAGCTGGCTAGGATCTTGTTTTCTCTCTTTCGCCTTTCCTCCTGGTTGAAAGATGCCAGGGCTCTCTTCTCATCCGCGCTGTAGATCTGGTTCTCTTTCCGCAGACGCACAGCTTCCATTCGCCGATGCCTAATGAGAGACAGGGTGCCCATCAGCGAACTACCAACACTCAAGCCATCAACTGGCCACAGAGTATTTTCGTTACTTTCAGTCATCTCTGTTCACCTCCACCTCCAAACCCGCATAATGGAAACTGTACGAATAGCATGGAAACGACATCCACGTAGAGTAACAAGAGCTCACAGTTGAGATGCATAGCCTGAGATTCCAGGATGGCCCGTTACTCCCAAAAGCTATTGCCAAACCATCATTTTTGATTTGACAGAAACAAAGGAATTAAATAGATGACAGTGCAAACCATCGCTAAGTATAATTAAATATATAATTAAGTATTCTTTCTTACGATTAAGTATAAAATATGAATGAAATCCAATCCACTCTTTATCCTGAGCCACCTCCCCAGTACTTTTGGCAGGGCCACCCACAACCAAGGAGAGCCCCTGGCCCTTGCAGCCTTTTCCACCAGGCCACCTACCTGCTGCCGCTCATTACATAGCCTGACTTCTCAAAGGAGGCTATTTCTTCGCTGGTAAGGCCTATTTCACCTCTCCTGGGGATCCGCTTGCCAGCTTTCACGTACTCTGCCATGGCAGCACCTTCACCAGGCAGCAAAGCGTGACCGTAGCTTCGAGAGAGAAAGAGAATGCCAAATTAAACCACAGCAAGGGCAAAAAAATGTGTAAGGACCGCCCCCCCCAGTGCCCCCAAGCCCAGTGTTGCAGCTTGTTCTCTTGCATGCCGTGCGTGATCCATATTATAACCATTCTGCTCACTCCTAGTCTATATCGGCCACAGAGAGCACCACTTACTTCAAGGGGCGGTCGTCTTGAGAAGCATGAGTAATGGGAGCTTCAGGTCCGATAAAATCCACTGCATCTGGGTTTTCTGCAATGGGTGGGGGAAACAAAAATTCAAACCTGTGAACATGGAGGCTGAGGCTTCTACACAGGAAAAAAGTATCTGCATATCCATCTCAACTTAGTTTGACTGCCCCTTGTTCCCCCCCTTGGACTCCCCATTCTACACAAGTGGGGAGGGTAAGCTGCCTACAGCAGGGTTTCTCAACCGTGGCAACTTGAAGGCATGTGGACTTCAACTCCCAGAATTCCCCAGCCAGCATTTGATTGATTTATACAGCTGCCCATTTAGCACATGACCCAGGGTGGTGCAAATCATTAATAAACAATTAATTATAAAACCTATATTATAAAACAAAGCATTAAAAAAAAACACAATCCAGATGACTGGAAAAAGAAGGGTATCAATAAAGCAAGAATATCCTTAAAGTAGCCAGTAATCTTCCAATGAAATCAGCTTGAAACTCTTTTCAAATACTCTTGAGATGAATGCTTATCTCTTAACCAAAGGAACGAACATGACCTGATTTATGCTAGCTAGCCTTGAGCGGTGAGCACCTACTTGATCTCTCAATCCAGAGGTCATCCCCATGTTCGGCTCTCTCATCAGAATCTTCACTGCTCGAGTCACTAGAATCCTTTCTGCTCTTCTTACTCTTCTTTTTCTTGTACTTTTTTCTGGTCATAAAAGAGAGATGGGTTGAATTTGGAGGCAGGGAGAAGAAAACCAATTATTACAAGCAAGAATAAAGTGCTTTGGATAAAGTGGTTAAGTTAAAGGAACGTCTGCGAATGGGCAACAGTAAGAGATGTTGGGATCATAAGCTTTCCATCTTTTTTTCTATGGGAAGCTCTGCCTAGCTGATACAAATATGGTTTTACGTTTTATCTGTTCATGCAGAAGAGTGTTTTTCAAACATAGCAACTTTAAGATGTGTGGACTTCAACTCTCAACAGGCTAGCTGGGGAATTCTGAGGGTTGAAGTCCACACATCTTAAAGTTGCCAAGTTTGAAAAACACTGATGTAGAACAAATAACGTGGCACACAGCACAAAGAGAACTCAAGGAAACCCTGCTATTTCTCTCTTTTGCAATCCCCTAATCGTGCCGCCCTGGAGATATTTGGAAGTAAACCACCTTGATACTTAAAGGGAGCTTAACCTCTGGGATTAGACTGAAGCAAGACCATATCCCCTCACTTTACAGCTCAAAATATTAACTAATAATAACAGAATTCAAGAACTGAAAGGAAAAAAGAAGGGGAAACCAATTTAAAAATGGGAACAACAATAACAAAAGCTGAAAGCCAAACCAGTGTTTTAGGAATTATCTCTGGAACAGGACAGATTGTGGCTTGTCCTTAGGCAGTTAAGGGAAGAATTATATACTATTAAATATAGGAAGTAAAGTATGCAAATGTTTTAAAGAGCTCTTACTTTCTATGCTTCTTTTTCTTCTTCTTGGCTTTCTTCTTTTCCTCCTCACCTGAAATATTAAATATGAAAAGGGGGAGGAGAAGTAAATCGTAAAACCTGATATATGTCCAAGAGAGATAAAAGCTGGCATGCAGGAGCAACTCGACTACTGGGACCGGACCAAGAAGACTGGGGTGCAGATGTCTAATTCTGTTGTGAATCTTACTGGATGACCTTAAGCAATCTCTTTCTCTCTGCCTAAAATAGTAGAGAGAACCCCACAGAAGAAGGAACATGGTTCCAGCAGTCAGTGAATCACATGGGTATACTTTATAAGGATATATGCGCACGTGTATTATGTATGTGCAGAAATGCTCTCAAAATTAAACCTGTACATCATACACCATAAAGGCATTCCTATACGGTTACAGCATGCTTATACTAAACATATTAACTGAGCTTATGTGTCAAAGATTCCCTGAAAAGAAAAGCAATGGTTGGATCATGGCAAATACACTTTTAATACTAACCATCCACACCCGGGTTCCCTCAGGGGTATCCAGAACAGCGAAGACAGTTCAAATTGATTTAATATTTGTAGTGTAGATCTCTCATTGATTAATAAAAATCTAATCTTTAGAACTCTGTTCTATTGCGCTTAATTATTCTCAAGTGTATAAAGCAGTTCCTTCATAGGGTATTCTAGATACATATACTATTTGTGAGAACTTTTACTAATATTCAATTCCCCATTAGTTTAATGGTACAGTTAAACATTGCTGGGATGCTATACTAATGTATGATTCTCTATTAAGTAAAACTCTTGAAAGTACCAGTGACATATTCTTCGAACCAAACAGAATGGTAAAAAGATACCTAAATATTAAAGGGCAATTGAATTGAATTGAATTGCACTGAATTGAATCATCTGAATTGCAGGCAAAGAACAAAATGTGAACTTCTTTCTGCATATAATTCAAATCAAGGAAGAACATTATTCCTGGATATCAGACTGATACTTACGTGCAGCAGCCTTTTTCTTCTTTTTCTTTTTCTTCCTTTTCTTCTCCTCCTCTAAAAGATATTCGAAACATGTGTTTTATAATCAGATAAACAATTAATTCCAATGTATTTGCTCCTGACTTAGAAACATGACCTACCAATGGTCAGTTCCAGAGGTACAAAACACAATTAATTGCCCCTCTGCTGAAAAACTTTCTCCCATTTGCATTCTACAAAGGAGAGAGCAATATAGGTTGCTGCAGCAAAGAGTGGGAAACATCATATTCAAACTACATCTATAGTTTTAAGAGAACATAAACTGTCCCCAAGTTAAGAATTAGCAATCTGAAATTATTTTGGACAATTTATTTCAGAAATGTCATTCACAATTCTAAGAAAGTAAAATGAGTCCCCCACAGATACTACTGATGGTGTCAGGCTTCATCTTATCCACACTGGAGTACCTTCTGAACTGGACTCGGATGAGCTACTTTTTTTAGATGATCCATCTTCGTCTTCTGCGGGAGTATGTTCATCAGAGCTAGATTTAAAGGCAAAATATAACCTTAAAATCCATGAACTAAAGTGCACAAGATGGAATACAAATGTAACTTTAAAAAGCTTATTTCATTTGGCCAAAATTAAGGACATTCTTCAAATTTAGAGATTTCAACACTACAGAATCTGTCTGTCAGGGTCTGTACATATATGTTCTCTCTGAGGGTTGGGAGGATGAGTTCAGCAGTTCCAAGCTGGGACAGAAATCAGGACTTAGAAATAAAACTAAATAGAACACCAGGTACATTTTACATCACTATAAAGGCAGCAAAGTCTAACAAGGAAAGGAAAACAAAATTAAATACAGGTTTATTTACTCTGGCTCAGGAAGTTTTGGTGAGAGTCCCCAAACTTCAGGTGCTCCTAGTTCACCTATTCGTTCTCTCTCATTTAGTCGTCTGTAAAAGATATTAAGAAACAAGTCAGAAGCACAGGAAAATAAAATCAACTTCATCTCATACCTAAATGCTAATGATGCACATACCAGATTGTAATGGGGTAAGCTTGCACACACAGAGAGACTAAGCCCTAAGATTTTCAAGAAAGGGGCTGCAAATCATCCCCCAATTACTCTCCTGGAAAACAGCCTGATGCTGCCGCTGTCTATTCCAGAGAAGGTCCCTCTCTGCACTAGTGAAGGAGTTAAGTGGTCAGATCTCTTGCCTCTGCTTCCCTTCCTTTTTCTGTAACTTATTGGAGCAGAGACATTACACGTTAAAGTTAAAACCCTTCCAAAGCTGAAGGGTGAAAAATACAGAGCCAAGGGAGGCAGCATCAGAAACAGGGAACAGGTCAAAGAAAAGGTTGGCAACTGCACATATTGAACTTCATAGAAATACTGTAGGCATAATCAAAGGCTTAAGCATAAAAGGTGAGGGTGAGGAGGAAGAGGGTACAATCATCCTTGACTAAATGTGGGAGAAACCAGGGCAATCCACCTATTAGCATAGATTGTGATCTTTATGTTGTCATATCATATATATCAGGATCTGAGATGCAGTAATGGCAGTTCTCCCCTCCAGCAACTGTTTAAAAAACGTTTTTTATATTTTACTCAACACTCTTGACAACAGAACCACTTTTAAAGAAATTTAAAAAAAAAAAAGGACACACCCACACACACTAAAAACACGAAGTAACAAGAGAGAGAGAAAAAACACCTTGTATTTTATACTTATCAAAAGTCCCCGCTTTATTAATCAAGACTCTTACAATACAATCCGTGCAAAATAGGATTATAAAATATCACAAAATCCCCTGCCGTAGTAACGTATGTTGCTGCATCCTCTGATCCCTAGAAAATATTGCCTTTTCCAAAACGGAGGGATCACCCATCCCCTCCAGCAGCTGTGAGAGACCACATGCCTAATAATAATAATAATGATGATGATGATGATGATGATGATGATGCTCGTAAGTGGATAAAATGCCAAATCCGGTCTACACATCTGGCTGGCTGCGCGACCAGCCATGACAACAATAACCACCACCACCATGGTTTTAAACAGGCGGAGCCGGCCAAGGGCGAGGCCGCCGGCCCACGGGTACCGCCACTCGCCTCTGCCGCAGCGACTCCTCCTGCTCCTTGCCGTAGTGCTCCGGGTCGTGCCGGGAGCCGAAGTGATGCGGGCGCCCAACCCGCTGCCGGAAGCCGTTGCGCCCCCGGGAGCGAGACCTCCTGCTGCGGCTGTGCCTGGACGGAGAAGGGCTGGCCGAGCCGTTTTCTCGCCCCCGCCGGGGGGTCGGGGAGTCCCACGGGCTCCTTGAGCGGGACACCGGGGCCATGGCTGTGCCAGGGCCGGGGCTGCTCCGGCGGTGGCGGCGGCGCCACCCGCGGGGCGGTCTGGGCGGCTGCTGAGGGCGGCGCGACGCTCAACCGCAACATCGTGGCTTCCTGTCTCCTGACGTCACATCCGGAGGACGCCATACTTCCGCCGCTCGCGTCCCGTCTTCTTTTAAGAAGTCACTTCTTTCCATAGAGGCAAACAAGGGTAGAGAGGCGCGCGACACTCACTTCCGGTGTTGCTTGAGCGCCGCTGCCTTCAACCCGCGTCACCAAAAGCGGCTCTTCTCTCAAATCTTTGCAGCGGGCTCCCATGTCTTAGATCGCGGGGCCCTGCTAATTCCAAGCGCTGTCACACAACGCCTTTGCGGGATACCTGGGTTGGTCAGCCTGGAGCGCGTATCTCTTTACAAAGGCATTTCTTCCGCAAGACCCTTTCCTTCCGGGTACAGCCCGCCCACTGGTCTGCCGCGCGCGGAAGTGCTGAAAAAGAAACGTCCGCCCGTTTCCCTTTCCCCATCCCCCGCTTCCGGTCCCGTGATCCACGCGCTGCAAGCCGAGCTCTAAGCCGAACCCCGCGTCCACCCTTCCCGCTGTTAAAAACAAAGACTTCCAGCCTCCTTGGCGGCCTCCCCAAGCCTCCGGCCGCGGGAGGAGGCCGCCCCGCCTCTTCCAGACGGTGCGCCGCTCTTTAGCGCCCGGCGCGCTCCTGGCGCGGCTCCCCGGAGTTCCGCAAGGCGGTTCCTTTGTGCTCGGATGGGCTGCCGCCCGTGAGAGACG